GAGCCCTACTCCACTGTTTGTCGTCGTGTGTTCTTCACTGTTCCTGTTTGAAACCAATAAAGCTGATTCACTGTTACGAGACGGCGTTGAGTCAATACTTAATAATTGGCGATGAGGATGGGATTCTAAAAGTGGGTAGGCAGCCCCGCTGAACCAACGCCAGGATGGAGAATGAAGACACACACCTGGTCGTGCAAGCCAAGGCACCATTTACCGTTGTGGTCGCCCCAACCGCTGTGATGGCCGTCAACCCGGCGTTCAAGGCTTTCAAGACTGGGACTTGTACCTATCCAGGTTCGAGTTCCTCCTGCAAGCAAACCAAATCATGGACGAGGCGAGGAAGAAGGCGACGCTCCTCAGTTCCTGCAGCAAGACCGTTTTTGATGTTGCCCAGTCCCTGGTTGCTCCAACTGACATCTACACAGCAACCTGGAAGGTCATAACGGATTCGGCTGAAAGCTCACTTCTTGCCTCAAGCATCCCAAATTGCTTACCGTCATGCTTTTTACAAGCAAAGTCAGGGCTCAACCAAGTCAATTGCTGAGTATGTCACAGCCCTGCAAAAAGCAGCCAAACCCTGCAACTTCACCGACCTGGAGGAAGCTCTCCTCGACAGGCTTGTGCGTGGCCTACGTGACGAGAGGCTACAGCAGCACCTGTTTGCCAAGACAGCACTCACGGTGTGGCCTACGCTGAGGCTGCTGAGAGGTCAACGAGAGAGGTCCGTCAGTGCCACAACCCAGTCGTTAAGGACCAGTCAGTGCACCACCAGTCGACCAGCGGCTCCGACGAGGAAGCTGATGATGTCCACTGGACACAAGCTGCACGACACAAACGGACCCCACTGAAGACAGTGGCAGGAGTCATGAGCGGGATCATTGTTCTGGAGTTCAGGGGTCGCAAGGTATTGTTGTCCCTCCTTGTGGCTGAGGGAGACTGGGCCAGCCTGTTGGGCCTGGATTGGTTTAAACCCCTCGGTATTGCCGTAACCGGGGTTAACAAAGTGTGTATGAATAAAGGGGAATGCATTTATGATGAATTTCCAGAGGTTTTTGATGGGGGGCTTGGTCGGTACACCGGTCTGCCTATAAGTTTCGATCTAGACCCCTCAGTGGTGCCTATCAGGCTAAGGTATAGGAAGGTTTCCAATATCTATGAAGGCCAAAATAGAGGCTGAATTAGATAAATTGATCGTGCAAGGTATCCTTGAACCTGTTCCTTTTGCAAAATGGGAGACGCCTATTGCAACGCCTGTAAAATCCGATGGGTCGGTGCGTATTTGCGCTGATTATAAATGTACAATTAATAAGGCTTTGCAACAACATTCTTATCGGGTGCCAGTAATAAGCCATGTGCTAGTGTCGCTGGGAGGTGGAAAGGTATTTGCCAAACTAGATCTTGCACAGGCTTATCAGCAGCTTCCCGTCGACTAAAAAGCTGCAGAAGCACAAACGATTGTAACGCACCGAGGTGCATTTCATGTGAAAAGGTTACAATTTGGGGTCAACGTCGCCCCAGGTATATTCCAAGGGCTCATGGAAGGGCTACTAAGAGGGTTACCGGGAGTAGTTCCGTATTTTGATGATGTGCTTATTGCAGGGGCAAATGAAACCGAGTTGTTAAACCGTCTGAGGGCGGTCTTGAGTCACTTCAAAGAAGCTGGTCTGAAGGTTAAAAAACTATGTTATATTGGTGTGTCACAAGTTGAATTCCTGGGGTTCCTCATAGATGATCAGGGAGTCCGCCCTATGGCAGATAAGGTATCTGCGATTCAGAACGTGCCCCACCCCAGTTCCAAAAAAGAGCTGCAATCGTTTCTTAGAATCCTTAATTTCTATCATTCCTTTTTACCCCACAAAGCCTCCATAGCGGACCCGCTCCATGGGTTGCTGCACAAAGGGGTGAGATGGGAATGGGGCGCTAAACACAAAAAGGCGTTTATGCCAGTAAAAGAGCTGCTGTCATCTAAAGCTGAGTTAATGCACTACGATGAGTAAAAAATGTTGGTATTGGCAGCCGATGCCTCACCATATGGGGTTGGCGCAGTTTTGAGCCATGTCATGGCTGATGGGCAGGAAGCACCCATCGTATACTATTCACGGTCCCTGATGGCCGCAGAAAAGAATTATGCTCAGATCGACAAGTAGGGGCTTGCCTTGGTGGCAGGAATGAAAAAGTTCCATGACTTTGTGTATGGCCGCCGGTTCCTCCTTGTCATCGATCATAAGCCGCTACTGGGACTTTTCTCACCAGACCACCAGATGCCCAATGTGATGTCCCCCCACATGCTGCGGTGGGCTATTTTTTTTATCAACATACGACTATGACTTGGAGCACTGACCCAACTGGACGCTGACCCAACTGGATGCTGACCCTGCTCCCGCCTATGATGTGTTAGCCCTTGACGAACTGCCTCAGCCTCCATGTCTTAGCCCTTGATGAACTGCCTCAGCCTCCAGTACACTCCTCAGACATTGCTGCTGCGTCAGCTAAGGACTCTATTCTCGCCGATTCCTTAACTGGGCATGGAGGGGGTAGCCGGTGGGTCATTTGGAGCTGGAGTTTTGGCCGTACAGCACTCAGCAAACAGAACTGTTCATCCACAAGGGCTGTCTGCTTTGTACGACCAGAGTGGTGGTGCCCCCTAAGCTCAGGGAAAGGGTTCTGGAGGCACTCCACAATGGCCATCCAGGCATAGTTCACATGAAGGCTCTCGCAAGGAACTATGTTTGGTGGATATAAAAGAACCCTCACTTTTCAGTCCAAATGTACCTTCACTCTCCAGTAACAAATTCAAGTAGAAATTCTGTGCTTTTTTCCCTTCTTCCTTGAGCCAGTCCTTTTCCTCCTGTCATTCACTTTCTACAGATCTACACTACATGGTGCTGACAATCTTCTGACAATCCTCAATGCTTTCCTCTCCCCCTTCATTAAATCTGCAGATCTTCAGAGAGAGGAAATGGCTATTGTATTAGTTGTATTAGTTTAGATCTATAACATAGATAGGAGCTGCGGTGGCTCAAGTGGTTAAGACGCTGAACTGCGGGCTGTGGAAGGTCGGTAGTTCAGCAGTTCAAGACTCAAGTTGCCGCATGACGGCATGAGCTCCCGTCTCTAGTTCCAGCTCCTGCCAACCTCGCAGTTCGAAAGCAAGAAATTGCAAGTAGATAAATAGGAACCACTTCAGTGGGAAGGTAACAGCATTCCGTGCGCCTTGGTGTTTAGTCATGCCGGTGTTAGCCAAATTGCCTTGAATTATTAATTAGTCTAGGGGAAGTTATGATTATTAACTGGCAATAGGCAAATTAGGGTTCACACCAATGTATACAGAAGCCCCACCTTTGCTGTAAGCACCAGAACAGACACAGAGACTGTATTCAATTAAATATAATGTCTTTTAACTGGGGAATATATATCATTCAAACAATACACAAACACACACACATTTATACTTATACTAAGAAATAAAGATAGATCCTTAACACAGTTGCATTAGCAGGACATTCGTTGGTTGGGCAATATTTACCTGTCTTCATTGATTGAGCCGTTCCAATGGAAGAATGGAGGGGTTTAGAAATAGAAAATGGGGAACACGTGCTCTGAACCGGCAGAACCACGTGGACTCTAGCTGCAGACTAGAGGTTAAAGATGGAGATAGGGTATGTGGATAGCAAGCTGGACATAAGAGGGTTAAAGCTTCGATAGGGGTCGTGGAGAGGATAAGAGAGAGACCATGTGGTCGGGCAGCATCTTTTATAACGTGTTGGGAGGGCTGGCTAGGCTGGCCACATCCCGTTGTGACACCTTCTGTTAGTCCGTCCCATAAAACATACTATTGGCTGGCTGGAAGAGGGGAGGGGGACTAAGGAGTAGTCAATATTGAGAGCTAGAAATTTAGACTGAGGACTGGCACCTGGATGAAGAGTGATTGAATCATCAGGCTAGGGATATTGTCTCTTGATGGCCCTAGCCGGCTGGCTGATGGTTGAGCAATTAGTTGCTAAGCAACTATTATTGGAGTCTCAGAGTTACGTGCAGCTTTGCAGGTTTGGAGGATGGGGGGTTGCCTACATGTGCTTGAAGAAACTCCTGATGGCGTCTGGAGTTCTCTGTCCTCATGTATTCCGTGGCATGGTGTACAGGCTTATGGGACTGCTTCATCTCACAGCAGGTGAGATGTCTGATGACTCTGGACTAACACTGTGGCAGCAACACTAAAGGAAGGTGTCCCTCTTTCAGGTGTGCAGTCTCAACAGGTATTCTCAAGTCTCCATGTTGTACAGTCCCTTTGCACAGTTCATATTCCATAAAAAACACATTGATAGGCTTGCAGGGCAACACCGGCCACATGACCACGGAAATGTCTTCGGACAGCACTGGCTCTTTGGCTTTGAAACGGAGATGAGCACCGCAACCCTAGAGTCGGATTCCTTTTGAGCAAGGGAACCTTTACCTTTTTTATAACATAGATATCTCTCTATCCCTTACAAGGAAATACAATTTTAATGCTCCTGCCTTGCGTAATGGGACAGCATACTATGCACCATCCTCCCAGTATGTGCACTCAATATTTTGTGTAAATAAGTGCAATGCATGATTTTCCAGCTTTGGAACACAATGGGAGACCCAGATGTTTGAGGCTACTGTTCACACATTGAAGCTCGAAAGGAAGTGGGTTTCCCTATTCACACAAAATGGTGACCATGCATATTGAGAGGATACATACTCTTTCAGAATGCGAAGGAGTGCCAAAAATCATAATACTGGAAAGGATTTCTTTTTGATTTAATGTAGGTGTTGTGTCCGTTCTTTTTGTATGGAGCTTTTCTTTTCCCTCATGCTAATTCCCTCTCACATTCACCAGTCTTCGCTCCCACCCACCAAAGGGGGGCCTAGTTAATATCCTGAAAGCCATAGCTATAAACACTTATGTGTTTGGACATGGAGATCTGCCATGCTTTAAGGCTGCTGCTGGAGGCCATTATAAGAACTTGCCTTACCTGTGAATTTGGAGGATTCCCATTGCATTTCATGTTGGGCCTCTCTTTCCCTTCTTGGGAAGTCTCCTCGTTATTGAAGCAGTCTTGTTTGAAATACTTCCTTGGCGGAGGTTTGGGTTTTGATGATCGGGGTTTCCTAACGAGGATCTCCGCAGACCTTTTGGGATGTGAAGAGAGGTGATCCACTTCTTTGAGACCAGGTGAAGAGGCTTTCTCCAGACTGTTTCGGGAGGAAGAGGACAAGGAGCCCGGCTGTCTGTTAATCGGGACATCAATACTATGTCCTTTTGCTTTCAAATTGGACAGCTGGTAGGCAAGGCCACTTCCACAAGATGACCTTGGATTGCAACTGCTGTCGCTGCTGGAGCGGATCATTAGCTTTTGGCACTGGGGGTTGAAATAAGTTGTGTTCTTCTCCGCATTCTTCTCCATGTATTTTTCACACGGAGGTCTCTTATGCCAATTCGTTTCCAGACTTTTCACACCTGCATTTAAAAAGAATAACTTAAAATGTATAGACAAATGCTTTGGCCAGTGTGCCCAAAGAACTCAAAGAGGGGAGAGTGACTAAAAAACCCCATTTGATGAGTCGTAAAACAGAAGCTATATAACACCTTTTATTAGGACTAAGCAAAATGTGCAAGCTTTTCAGTTCTGCAGAATTCTTCGTCAAACTGGATATTAAAAAAAAAACCAGAAAGGAGAAGGGAAAGGAGAAAAATGAATGTCTTAGACAACTTTTTTTCTTTTCCCCCTCCTTTTTCCCCAACATGTGGTCTGATGAAGAATTCTGGAGAACTCCGAAGCCTGTACACTGTCTTTAGTAGTTTAGTTTGATCCTAACAAAAAGTATAAAACAGATATTGTTTTTTGATGTTGTTTTGGACCCATATGACTACTCCCTGCAGTTGCTTTCTAGTTTGGGAAGGGCTTAAAGCAGCTTTGTGGATTCCAACCTAATGTCTAATCCTGGTTAAATCATCAGATTTCAAGAACTTGTCCCTTTAAGAACCAAGACCTGGGGGGAGTTTTCCCTCTAACTTGTGGCAAGTCTGAGCCAAGCAGGGTGAGTGGCTTTTCATTTCTGCATTGTCTCTGGCTTTTATATTTCCAAATGTACCACCTGAGATCTTTGTTGCACCTCTGATGGCTTCACCTAATGAAGTGTGCCCAACACCTACTGTATTCCACCTGGTTACAAACTGTAAGCCGCTCAGGCTTTTTCACCAGGCCCTGAGATATCTTTTCTCCTTATTGGTTTTTTTTTGGCTTTTTAATTATATGAACTTCCTGAAGAAGATTTCTCACCAGTTTCAGAGACCTAATGAAAGATGTTATGCTGCTATTGTGGTCTTTATTCCTAATAGACCAACATTGTTTCCTCCCCCCCCTCCCCTTTGTCCTTTCTCTTGTAATTCCAAGTTATTTATTGACTTTTCCAGCCTCTTGGACTCTCTTACCTTCAGGACTCCACTGAGGCCTCTCTCTTCCAAACTTGTTGCTTTCAACAGCTTGTGAAATGGCTTCTTTAAGCTGCTGTTCAGAGACCTATAAAATGTTAAAAGTCATCTTATCTTACCATGCTGTAGGTTACAAAGTTGTGGGTTGCTGTTTTTTAAACCCACACTGATTTTATTCCCAGTTCCTGACCAAATATCTTCCTTGCATACTTAAAAATGGAAGTTCCTTAGCTTGCATATGTATTCTTAACATCAATGTTGTGCTATGCTAGGGAGTGGTTCTGAATCAGTACTGTTGATGCTCCCCAAATTCTGGTGTTCCTTGCATCAAATATAACTTGCTGAAGGGATTCAGCATAGGATGGACCCATGAAACCAGTGCTCAGTAGCCAAGCTAAATGTTTGCGGCTTGTCCAGTCACAGACAGAAGGAAGCCTGTGAGTCTGCTGTAGGCATTATTTGCAATGATTTTTATTGTAAGTATTTATTTATATGCTGCTTTCCTCCCCAGTGGGGGGCCCAAAGCAGCTTACAACACTGTTCTTCCTTATATAAATATATATATATATATATGAAAGTTCCCTCACCGTAAAATCAACACCCAGGCCAAACCGCTGGACCTAGAGCCACCAAATTCGGGGAGAGCGCTCCTACCATGGTGTAGCTGCTCACTAAGAAGGGATTTTTAGACATTCGAACCCTAAGTGGGTCAAAAGGGGTAAAATGTGCTCCCCCCATTGATTCCTATGTGGCTGCCAGGCTGCTGCCTCCTTGCACCCCCCACTCTCTGATTGGTCAGCTGCAGAGCTCAGTGTTCTGAGGTTAAAAAAAACCCAGTTACAGGGGACTACAAAGAGCTGACAGTTGAGGAAATCAGGAGTGGCCAACTGCCTGTGAGGTG